GGGGGGGTACCCCCCCACTTTTGTCCATTTTCAACTATTTTTGGATATCTTGGGCTATTGTCAATTTTTCGTCCACAATCCGCCTGTAGGGGGACACGCCCTATCTAACCTTCAGTACGATGGGAGCAACATGAGATTCGTGGCCGAGGCGCCCTCCGCTGAACCCTGCCCCCCTCTCTGGCGGCTCGCCGGCCCCTGGAGCCGTCGACCCCTTCCCTCGGGACGATCGAGGTGGTCAGTGGCAAAGATACGGGGGGGACAGGCAGAGAGGGGGATGCATCGAGCCCCGATCGCCCATTGATCACCGATAGGGGCCAGGCGATCGCAAACATGGACTAAGGGGGCGTGGATTAGCGACGGGTCCCGTTTCCATGGGAAATGGGAGATTCCCGCCGCCGAGCGAGGCGGCACCGGCCTCATTTTGGGGAGGGCACCTCCCCCGATCCATGCACTTGGCGACCGCGCGCCAAATCCATGGATCGCTAATCCATGTTTGCGCGCCCCCGAGATAGTCAGAGGAGGAAAAGGTACCCATACCGCTACCATTCGCCCGTGTCTCCCTTTTGCGCCCTCCTGGCAGGATCTCGTCGCCACCGTTGGAGTCGCCTCGAAATCCTGGTCAGAACGCACCCCGGGAGGGGTCCGGGGTGTAGCGGTATCGGTACCTGTCGATCTCCCCAGAGGGCCCCGACTGGCTCAGGAACGTGCGGCTTCACTGTCGGGGGCCTATCGCCGATGTATCGGCGCTGTATCTCGCCGATTCCAGGTCGATGCTTCACCCCCTATGCCAGTCCCCCCCATATCGTTGCCTCGGGGGTGGACAGAACCCCCAACGGTGACGCGTCGATTAGTGAATTGTACGTTTTCGGTTTTCGAGAGGGCGCCGTGGCCGTTATTTTTCAGGCTTGCGCCCGCCAGGTTTGGGGCTCAGGTCGTTTTCACTAAACCACGTTCTGCTAAAGGGGGGTCTGTCCATCCCCGATTGCCCCTCAAGCGGGTATGGAATGGGCTCACAGGCTGACAGCAATTCCTGTGCATCTTGAGCCGGGCTCGCTGTCGGGGTCGCCGCGTGCGCTGCGTATGTGAGACGGAAGGCCGCCTGCCCAACAGCGGCCGCTGCTGGTTTGGGACAACAGTTTTTTGGTGGCACTGTGCTAAGTCGGGCGTGTCCCTCTACCGAAGGAGTATTCAAAATGTTTCAAAAGTAGTCTGGGGACGATGGTTCGAACATTTTTTTGGAGTATGTTCGAGCATGTTTCGGGTATTTTCGTTTTCCTTCCAAAACCCGCCTGTAAGGGGACATGCCCGACGTAAGCATTGTGCCCCCGTTTTTGCCGTGCCCATGCCGGGTGTCCAGATTCCGGGGGACCGATGTGTTGCTCATCCCGAGTCGGCTCCTGATCTTCAGGAGCGACAGACGCACGTACACGTACATGGATACACGTTGGTTTCGAAAGTGCGCGTTGCTCACCAGATGCAAAAGTACCACTACCACCAGCCAGCGGGGTGGCTGTCCCACCCTCTCGAGCTGGTGGCGCCTCGTTCCGGGCATGCCTCCAGAGAGTTCCCGGAAGGGGGTGCCACCAGCTCGAGGGGAGGGAGCGGCCAACCCCCTAGCTGGTGGAAGTGGTACTTTTGTCTCTCCTGAGTTGCGCGAGCGTTCGTAAAACGAGGCTGGTCTCGCGGACTGGGGGGCCGTATTCATGTACATGGATGCGCGCAGACGTCCTTCGTGGGCTCCGTGGATCCCCCTGCAGGCCCGGGAGCGGCCCCCTCGCACGTCCCAGGGACAGGGACACAAACGCCCTCCGATGCGGCGAGAGTTTTCGCCTCGAGCCCCTGGAGGTCTGAGGTGTCAGCCGCCCTCAGGAGCCGGGAGGGGCAAGATGTGCGTGTGCGCGCGCCACGAGCTCGGCGATCGGGCGGAGAGACTCTCCGTGGACGGACGCCAGGCGGGCGGCGATGGCGTCGAGGGCGTCGTGGTCGACTTCCAGGTCGGCGCCAGGGTGGACAAAGGAAGGGCGGAGTTGGGAGGAGCTACGGCGCGGTTGCGCCGCCTGGGCGCGGCGACGAGGGAGGAGGCGGAAGAGGCGCAGGGGGAGGAGGAGGAGGAGGAGGAGGAGGAGGAGGAGGAGGAGGAGGAGGAGGAGGAGGAGGAGGAGGAGGAGGATCGTTTGATGGCGGCGTTGCCAGCTTGCCCCCCAAAGGGCGGCGACGACGGCGGCGGCGGTAGGGCAGCCGCGCCTGCGTGCCAGGCAGGGTTCGCTTCGACAGCGATCGATTCTGTCCGACGTTGAGTTCGACTCCGACTTTCCACCGATCCGACGCGGCCCGATGCTTGCACAGCGCAGTTGCGTATCCGTGCGCAGCCGATGCGATTTGATTTCGGCTCTGGGCTGGCGCAGCCCTGTCCGATGCTCGTTCTGGTCCGTTCCGATTTCGCGATTCGATGCTGGCTGACCCTGCCAGGTCGGCAGGCTGGCGGAGGCGACCTGGGACTGAGGGGGGGCGGCCGCCCTTGGGTGGCCCCTCGCCGGCAAGCCTCGGTGGCCCTCGCTCGGCGGCGCTTTAGGGGCCTTCGGCGGCGGCGCAGCGGCGGCGGCGGCGGCGGCCAGCGACGACGGCGTCGGCGGCGATTGCGACGGCGGTGGCGGCGGGGCAACAACGCCGTGGCAACGGCAACGGCGACGGCATCGACGACGACAAGGACGACAGGGCAGCGTCGGCATCGTCGGCATTGTCGTCGCCGTCGTCGGCCAGAGGGCCTCGTGGCCAGCGTGGGGCGTGGCGGGCAGCAATTGCCCCGCCGCCCGCTTTCTGGCGCGGGCTGTCGCTCCTCCTTCCTCCCTCCTTCCCTCCTCCCTCCGTCCTCCTTCCTTGCTCGATCCCCCCTTCTCCTGCACGCGCAGCCCCTCCTCCTCCTCCTCCTCCTCCTCCTCCTCCTCCTCCTCCTCCTCCTCCTCCTCCTCCTCCTCCTCCTCATCCCCCTCCTCCTCCCCCTCCCCCTCCTTCTCCTCCTCCTCCTCCTCCTCCTCCTCCACAATTACACAATATGAATACTACTCTCCTCCATCCCCTGATGGCGTGCGGAAGATAGCGGGCACCCCTCCGCGTATTGCTTTTACACAGGATTTCCCGGAGTTGGGTTTTCGCTGGGTTTTGTTCAAAGTGATGCTCTCGCTGAGGCGCGGGCTTCATTTTCGGGCTTCCGCTCGTTCCGAATCGTGCCCCCGCTGCAGCGCTGGCCCCATTTCCGTGCTTCCGCTCGTTCCGAATCGTGCTCCCGCTGCAGCGCTGGCCTCATTTCCGCGCTTCCGTTCGTTCCGAATCGTGCTCCCGCTGCAGCGCTGGCGTCATTTCCCGTGCCATGCCACGGCATGCAATGCAATGCTAGGTTGCGTTCCGCTGCGCGATGCCATGCCTTCAGCTGCAGCTGTCATATCCAGTGCTTAAGTGCCACGTCATGCTGTGCCATGCTACGCTTTGATCTTCAACGCCATGCTATGCAATGTTATGTTCGGGGCCGCTGTGCGATGCCATGCTTTGCGTTTCAAAGCTTTGTGACGCAATTCTTCACTACGCCACGCCACGCCATGCTGTGACATACTACGCTTTGCGGTGCTCTTCTACGCCATGCCATGCCGTGCTCTACAATGCATCGCGTACCTTTTCGGGATCATTGCCCTGCTCGACATCCGACTGTGCGAGTAGATAGGGGATCTACGCCATGGTAAGGGATGGGAGGGAGGGGTAGGATGTCAGATATGACGCGAGCGCACCTAGCTTGTCCTCCTCCCCCCTCTCCCCCTCCTCTTCCTCTGGGTCCAGGCGGGTGTGGGGGCGCGCGGAGGGCGGGGGGACCCAGTCCAGCCGATTACCCGTTCGGGCACCTCGTCTCCCCGTCATACAGGCCCTGTTGGCGGGGTCCTCGGAGACTTCGGAGACCCGCGCGGGCTGGGTCCACGAGGGAGGAGGACGGTAGTTGGTAGTTCGGGGAACGAGCAATGACATAAACATACAAACTCGGAGGACCGCGCGGACTTCTGGGATCGGCGCTGGGGCCCTTTGGCGGCGCCTCCGGCGCCGCCCCTGGCGCGCTCCGCGCGCCAGGGAGGGGGGCTCCAGCGCCGATCCGAGAAATCCGCGCGGGCCTCCGAGTTTTTATGTTTATGCCATTCCTCGTTCCCCTAGAGGACGGTCGTATAGTGCCGATGTCCTGGAGGCTAAGCATCCGACGCCCTGTCGATTCGGCTGGGGCACGCGGGCTCGCATGTCCTTGAAGGCGCTGCTCGTGAAGATTCGGCAGACCATCGGTATGACTCCAGGGCCTGTTACACGGACCGTTGTTCGCACCTTGTATTGTTGTCTGGTATGGGCAATGCGCATACTCTGTGACAGCTGCCTCTGTTAACTCACGACGAGACTATGCAGGACCGCTTGCGTTGCCGTCGGGCCGTGTTCGGGAGAGGTCAGTACCTCGTGGGGTCTGCATGCCGGACCGCCGTCAGAGCCGCCGGGCTATGTCCTAGATGTCAGTACCTCAAGCGTGCGCTACTTTGGGAGTGATGGGGGGCGAGCTCATCCGAAGCCCTCTGGAGTCCCCAGGCGCGTACAGTCGAAAGTGGAGGGTGCAGGGGAAGGACAGGTCATTGCCACACGCCTCCCAGACGGCTCCATTGTGGGCCTTCCTGGGCAGTGTACTCAGGGCTTGCGCGGCGCATGGCAACCTCGGCCGCAGCTCGTCAAACGACCGCAAGCGAGCGTCCTTTCCGCTCGCTCGCAGGAAACCTTAACGCGCGAAAATCCAGTCGAAAACCCAGTCGAGAGCACAGCCGAGAACTGAACCTTTTCACAAGCCAGGGTGGCGGCGGGGGGATCCTGCTGGATCCAAGCCGAAGTGCGGGGCGACTCGGGTTTGGGGACGGAGCGCGCCAAGTGCCCCCCTCGTTCGGCCGAAACGGCTGGGAGCTCTCGGGGCACAGGGTCAAGGGTGTAGGGAGAGGAGAGAGGAGGGCAGAAGCGGGAGGAGGTGGAGGTGGGGGCGGATGATGAGGAAACGAAAGGGGAGGAGGAGTGTGAGGATGAGGAGGAGGAGAAGGAGGAAAAGGAGGAGGAGGATGCGGAGGATGCGGAGGAGGAGGAGGAGGAGGAGGAGGAGGAGGAGGAGGAGTCAGTCCAGTGTAAACACAAGACTCATCAACGATGTTGGAATAAACCCTCCCTCCAAGCTTCCTCTTCATAGGCCCCTAAGATGCTGCAACACACCCTCCCTCCAAGGTCCCTCTTCATAGGCCCCTGCAAGGATTCATTTCCACTGGGGGGAGTGCCCCGTTGGAAAGACAACCGTATGAAAACCCTGAACCGTGCCAGGCAGAGTGCCAGTTTTGGGACTTCAACGCCACCAATCAACCTCACTGTTGCGTTTTGACGATCATGAACCGTGCCAGAACGCCGACCCTGGGACTGCAGCACCGCGAATCAATGTAACTGTCGCGCCCTCACAGTTCTCCATTTCTCAATGCCATCTCTGGGTCGTTAACCATGGAAATCTTAGAGACTCTTGCATTGAACAACGAATACTCGCGGCGCTAAGGCGAGAACCACGTTGTGAACATGAACCGCCCTTCATCCGTGATTTTCGCGTGAATTTTGAAAACGAATGTGCCCGGTGCTTAGGCGAGAGCCACAGTTTGAAGACGGGCAGCCCTCATCGCGTGAAACTTTTGCATATTTACAACGAGCGCGTTCGGCGCTAAGACGAGAGCCACGTTTCGAAAATGAACCGCTTATCGTCCGTGAAAACTCATGCAGTCTGGTAAGACGGATGTGTGCGGCGCTCAGGCGAGAGCCACAGTTTGAAAATTTCCCGCCCTCCATGTGTGAAATTGTTGTCAATTGTAAGCTTCAGGATGCCAGATGGTGAGGGAATCTCGGGCGAAACGCCCTGCCCGCCCTTCCGACACGCCTCGAGGTGCGACATGGAGGAGTTGTTTATAAGGAGGAGGAATGGAGCAGGAGGAGGAGGAGGAGGAGGAGGAGGAGGAGGAGGAGGAGGAGGAGGTTCGGGGCTGGACCGCGCCGTTCGAGACCGAAGCGCCCCCGCTGCCCCCGTGCTTGCTCACCCTGTCTCTTGGGCACGCCCGCGCCCCTCCCCTGCGCCTCGAGCTCCTCCCCGGCTGGTCGGCGTCGCCGTTGCCCTCGCGGAAGGGGCAGGCTGCGCCGCGACGGGCGCACGGCGCTGCCGGGACGCCTCGCAATGCGTTCGGGCGCCGTCAGCCGTCTGTTTTGAGCCCTGAGTGTGGTGACCATGTTGTTGCCAGCAGGTGTTTAGGTATAGCGCGTCGGCGGTGACGCCGGATGTGACGCGTGGCCGTTGTACCAGCGAACTCGTGTTGAGACGCTGCTCGCGATCATAATCAGCAGGACCACTCGCTTGTGGCGCATGATTAATTTGCGTATACATAGGGGCGCATCCGTGTACGAGTACCTTTATGATATGAGTGCCAGATTCCTGGCCGCCATAGTTGAGCGCCAGGCGCACCGGCTTCAGTCTGCGGTGACGCTTGCATCCGTACCGTAGTGGTTCCCCGACGCGTTGGGAGAGGCTTGATGCGTTTTTCGACTCAGTATATCCACCCCCCCAGGGTCGAACCATTCACTCGGCGTCAAACCAACATACTTATACTATGTGTGCGTCGCCCCCCCAGGGGCGACGCGCGCACCGAGAAATCTTATAGTATATAGTATATACGTCGTGGCGGGCGCTTCCTGGCCACACCGCTCGGTAAACGATATCAGAGTGACGGGGCCGAACGGTCATCCATTGTCCCTGGGTGCGAGGCTGAATAGGGAATTCGTGGTGAGAATTTTGCTTTTTGCGTTGCTGTTGTTGTTGTTGTTGTTGTTGTTGTTGTTGTTGTTGTTGTTGTTGTTGTTGTTGTTGTTGTTGTTGTTGTTGTTTGTTGTCGTCGTCCCACCCGCGACCCACCGCACCCGCGACCCACCCCGCGACCCACCCCGCGACCCACCCCGCGACCCACCCCGCGACCCACCCGCGACCCAACCCGCGACCCAACCGCGACCCACCCCCGACCCAACCCGCGACCCACCCACGACCCACCCCGCGACCCACCCGCGACCCATCCGCGACCCATCCGCGACCCACCCTGCGACCCACCCGCGACCCACCCCGCGACCTACCCTCAACGGAGGAAAACCACCCAGACCCGACAATTGACGTTTACCAAACTGCTTTGGGCGTGTGCGTTTACTAATCGGGTTTGCTTGTCGGGGTGATATTATGGGGTGAATTTTTGCCCTCTACACCCGTGACCCACCTGAGACCCGACAGCGATCCACCCGCGACCCTCCCGCGACCAATTTGCGACCCATCCGCGACCCACCCGCGACCTACCCGCATTGGTTTTGTTTAACGAAAAAATCGGCGCCTGCGGCGGGCTTCTCCAGAGTCTCGCAAACTGCCGACGTCCCCACCGCCCCCTCACTCTTATCCGCATCTGCGCGGTGCTACGTACTACAAGATGGGCATACTATGTTCGGGTCGGACGCACGCCTCCGAGGAGGACATATCGTACTAGTATGTCTCTGTGCGTCCCCTTCGCCATGCATTGTGAAACCGCCCAGCCTGGTCGGAGTCAGAGGCTCGTGCGAAGGCCTCCGCGAGGCCCTCCTCACGAGCTCCGTGCCTCCGCGAGTTTTTTTGTTCACGAGGTGGGCCCCAGGGCTCTCGACTCCACCCCTCGGACGCGCCCCCTCGTCACGCAGGGGTTGCCAGGAGTCCCAGGTGGCCCGGGCAAGGGCACTAAAAACCGAGATTGCCACGCAAGTTTCTGGTGTGTGTGTGTGTGTGTGTGTTTGTGTGTGTGTGTGCATTCGCCCCCCCCCTCCCCCGGCGCTCCCCCCGCCGCAGCCGGCAGCTCTGAGTGGGCCGGCTTCCTCTCTTCCCGTCGCGCCCGGGGCTCCTCCTCCTCCTCCTTCCGTGCATTGCGGCCCCGATTTGCATGCAGCGTGTCCCCTGTTGCCTATCCGTCGGAGCAGTCGCCCTTTGCCCAGCCGCCGACGCAAAAAGTGTGTGTGTGTGTCATTCGCGTGTAGATTTCCTCGTCCAGTGCCGCTCTCTTCGAAGCAGACTGGCCTCATCCACAGAGTTGGATGCAGTCAGCGCTAACATGCCCCTCTGTTATTCTCGCGTGTCTGTGGTGCCCTGCAGGCGGATGACACGCATGTGCTTGTGTATGTGTATGTGTGTGTGTGTGTGTCTGCCTTGCCGTAGTTTCGTCCGCACAATGCCCCTCCCCGCCACCCTCGAGGACGAGCAGGAGCAGGAGGAGGAGGAGGAGGAGGAGGAGCAGAAGGAGATGGCGGACCACTCCCACGGTTCTGCCCCAACAGTGAAACAGCCACCGTCCTGATCCTTGGCTGCGATCCCAGCGCGTCCGGGTTTGAGGTTCTGGCGTGGCTGTTTGGGCCCGCTGCTTCAGAACGTTTGATAATTCAGCGCGAGCGGCTGATTGAGCCTGCCTCCGCACCAAGATTCGGAGGCCAGAAAAAACACAAACGTGACCTTCGGACGTCGCACGCCGCCCAAGAGGGACCCAAGCGCCCAAAGCCCCAGGCATCAGACCAAAATTGTTGCTCTGCGACGGTGCGCGGCCCAACGGGTCCTGACGCCTTGCTCCGGGGCAGCTCTCTCGCCACGGGCCAGCTCTTGATGGCCCCAGGGCCCAAGGACCCGGGGGTTCCAAAGGGGGTTTTGGGGGAGGCGGTTTTCCAGGATGGGTCCCCCATGGGGGCTTCGCGCCCCCTGTTTTGGCGACGTTCCGAGGCCCCTGGGGGGCTCTCTGGAAAACCCCCCTCCCCCAAAAAGCCCCTTTCGGAACCCTCTGGAAGGACGGCCCTGAATGTTGATGCGTATTTTCCGTCCTCCGAACTTTGCTCAGGACCACCGCCGAGACTGATTGAGCACGGCGGCAGCCCATGCAGGAGGCAGTGCATGCAAGCCTGCCAAGTGACATCGACCGACCGTGAACCAGCATCGCCAGCGAGTCGGCTCCTCGCACCCCTCCTCCCGCTCCTCAGCAGCAGGCCCTCGCAGTCGACCCCCGGGACGCGTCCGGAAGCGCGTGGCGCCCAGGTCTCTCCGAGGCGGACCCACCCGTGGCAACCCGGTCGCCCTGGGAGGCCCCCCCCCCCCCACCAAATGGCCTCCCCCTTCTCTCTCCCCTTGTCCCGGGCCTCCGACGTCGTGGTCTGCTGTGCGGCGCGCCCCCCCCGAAGGGGCCTCCCCCTTCGTTCTCCTCTCTTCTCCCGGGCCTCCCGCGTCGTGGTCTGCCGTGCGGCGCGCGCTCCCGAGCTCTCTCTCGGCGCCATCCTCCCCGGGACACCGTCTCTCGCCGCGGGCTGTGGCTCTGCAGAGGCCCCCCCCCCTGGGGCTCCGGCAGGCCCTCCCCCCGCCCCCGGGCTGCCGGCTGGAACAGCGAGCGCGTGCCCGCCGTGCTTTCTGTGGCTCCTCGGCGCCTGGAGGTGCGCGCGTGCGTGCGCGTGCGCGCGCCCTTCGGGGGAGGGGCGCTTCCGTGCTGCCTTCGGCTGCGTGCGTCACCCGTCGGGCCTCTCTGGGGGGCTCTCGTCGCCATGGCCGAACCCGCCGGCGCCGGGCCCCGGCGAGGTACAGTCGGCCTTGGTCAGTAGGTCGACCCTGCTAAATCAAGGGTACCCTTGTGTCCTGTGTCTCGCGACCCATGCCTCCTCCATTCCTTATGGCAATGTGGCCCTCGGAAGGGTCTTGTGTCCTCTCGCGTGTCCGGTCCAATCAAGTCTGACTGTACAGCCCTGCCCAGCTAAGAAGCCCAGCTCACGTCGCGAACAAAAACACGGTGGCAAATTTTTCTTCTGATATTCGGGCGGCGCTGTGGACCAATCTCCACTAGCTACTTGTTAATCTAACCATGTAGTTTTACCCATTTTGGCAGATCTCCGCACTTCTTCTAGGAGATTATTTCCTCCTCCAGGTCGTTGCTGGATCGCGTCGTGCTTGGTTGAGCTATCAGGTCAAAAGTTCGGTTTGCGATCCATGGTTTTTGTTTCTTGGTATCCCGACGCGGCAAGGCCATCTGAGCCTGGGCGATCGCATTCTTCATGTTCTCCCACGTCTGCTGTGCATCGCCTGCTGCGGTACTGTGGCGATCAAGATGTTAGTGAAAGACTCTCGCACGGTATTGTTGCGAATCGCCGCCTTATCTAATCCGTTAGTTTGTTGCCGATTGGCTGCTGGCGTCTCGAGCCCCAGGGAGCATGTCACCGAGTAATGGTCCGTAGCCAACGCCGCTTCCCGATGACTCGCGACGTCTTTCAAAGGGGGTAGAACTCCAACATATTATCTGATGCCTCAGAAATTTGGTCAAAAGGCACCGTTCCAGCTTCTCGGAAGGTACCTTTTTCTTCCAAAGGTCGTTCCATAAATGCGTTGGCAATCACCAAAGTAGCACCCGTGCAGCATTCGAGCAACAGGTCCCTGTTTGGAGCTTCCACTTCATGTAGTGCTTCTCGGCCCCACCCGTGTTCACCTACTACGTCTTCGTCTCAAGCGTGTGCTTGACCAACACGGGCGTTGAAGTCTCCCACAAGTACCTTCCCAATCATTGCACGGCATATTCTGAATTCCTTGGCCAAGCTGTCATAGAAAGTAGTCCTTTCCAGCAAGGGTTTGAGGTTGTGTGGAGCATGAATACGAAATATTCTCATCGTAGTCCCATCCATGCGAAGCTTTGATTGCAAAGTCGGTCCGAAACCTTCTCTCGTAATATTGAATATGTATACGAACATGTGGTGCGATGACACTGCCAACTCCTGCCCAAGTTCTGTCGTCAGTGTTGTTGCCTGTCAAAATGAATGTGTGTCTATCTTGGTCATCAACTTCAGCTTCCGATTTCCGTGTCTCTGGAATGCGCAACGTTCCGATGTTGTATTGTTGCATTCAGCGGCGAGCGAGGGGGGGAAGTGAGAAGGGGCGGGCCTTCTCAGAAGTCTCGGAAGCTCCCCAGACTTCTGAGAAGTTTTCTAAGCCTTCCCCGAAAACAGGAAGCACCATCGGAAGGCGCTAGGGCTTCTGAGAAGTCCCGCCGCCTTCTTAGAAGGCCTTCTCCTAAGAAGGCCTTCTCTTTCTCACTTCCCCCCCTCGCTCGCCGCCGATTCCATGTGTTGACTTATTTCGATCGTCTTGACCTCTGTGAGCCCACGGACATTCCAAGGACCAAGTTTGGGAACAGAAGGTTGCGCGGTAAAATTGTTGACTGGAGAACTGTCGTTTCGAGTTGGTCGGTTGGTAGCTTTGCCCTCTCCGTTCGGTACAAGACGTCGCAGTATTCGGCAATATCCAGGTAAGCTGTTGTTCCGGAAGGGTGAAACGAAGCCCGTGCGCCCCTGGCACCATCAATTATTGTCGTTGCTTTTTACCGCCCCCTACGATGAGCTGGCCGCGCTCCTGTCCAAGCGTTCCGTGGCCCTCTTTCGCAAGTCATCCCATTCTGCTGCCTTTTGCAATTCTTCCCAAGTCTCCCAGTCGGTATCCAACCACAGTACTTGTAGTTTGTAGTTTACCACACTGAC